GCTTTGCAAAATCAGATGAAAATCCTTGGAAATAAAGAAGACAAGAGGACTTGTAAATACAGATGAAGAGACCTTGTAAATACAGATGACGAGTCCTTATAAATACAGATGAAGAGGCCTTGTAATTACAGATGACGAGTCCTTATAAATACAGATGAAGAGGCCTTGTAATTACAGATGAAAAGACCTTGTAAATTAGCAAATAAATTTACAATCATTAGAAAAATAGGCAAAACTGAAACCGATACCCAAATTCAACAAAAAAAATGGAAAATAAGTTTGTTACGTAATCAATAATTATTTATAACAAATATATTCTAAACAAAATAAAAGTGGAAGAGTCCCATTGAACCCTGTTAGAGTCCACGAATAATTTTGGTGCTGGATCCAATTATAAAAAGTGCGTATGTGTGTAAGAATCGTTGTGGAACCCATTCACCTTTATTGGTGTAGTGAATGTTGCTCTGCTCGCTCTAATGTCCGGCGTGTTGGTTGGCAGAGAAATTGCCCTTTGAAGCGGGTAAGGGGAGGAACTATCGTTCCCCGTACCCGCTTATATTGCGCTTAATAGCCTAATATTGAGCTTAATAGCCTAATATTGCGCTTAATAGCCTAACTAGTTCCTGAACTAGGCCCAAGGCCCTAACTGGTTCCAGTAAAACGATAATGACCATATTAGTTATATAAGTTCACATAAAACTTATTTTACACATAAAACGAATGGTTTTCATTTAAAATTTGAAACCAATGTTGAATAAGTTTGTCTGTTTGCAGATGAGGGTGAAGACAGCAGAAACTCATCCCTCGACTCAGGTCTTCTACACCCCGACCTCGCCTGGAGAGAATCAAGGTACCTTGCTGCAGGGTCGGATCCGCCTGTGCTGCCCCGATGCTCACGTTTTTTTCATAGAACTGATTTGAGTGTAGACTTTAGAATTTTTTCTGTACTGTAGGACAGCTTTTTCAGTTGAACTTCATTCGTAGTGTTTCGCTCTTTTGAACAAACGTTCGTGTATTGTAGGAACGAATTTCTTCTTTGCTACCATGTTATTTTTGGATAGATCATTTTAAGTTTTAGAATTTATTTATATATAGTAGGGATGATGTTCACTTGTTTTTAATCTTTTTGTAGTACCCAAACATATATATATATATATATATATATATATAATATATATATATATATATATATATATATAATATATATATATATATATATATATATATATATATATATATATATATGTACCTAGTAGCCAGAACGCACTTCTCTGCCTACTATGCAAGGCCCGATTTGCCTAATAAGCCAAGTTTTCATGAATTAATTGTTTTTTGACTACCTAACCTAACCTAACCTAACTTTTTCGGCTACCTAACCTAACCTAACCTATAAAGATAGGTTAGGTTAGGTTAGGTAGGGTTGGTTAGGTTCGGTCATATATCTACGTTAATTTTAACTCCAATAGAAAAAAATTGACCCTATACATAATGAAATGGGTAGCTTTATCATTTCATAAGAAAAAAAATTGAGAAAATATATTAATTCAGGAAAACTTGGCTTATTAGGCAAATCGGGCCTTGCATAGTAGGCTGAGAAGTGCGTTCTGGCTACTAGGTACGACATATGTATATATATATATATATATATATATATATATATATATATATATATATATATATATATTTAAAGACGATCACGAAACACTGATCTGCGGAAAATCCACATAGTTATGGGAAAGGGTGATGAACGTTTCGGCTGATCAAAGTCGTTGTCAACACCAGACTGACTGAGAGAAACAGAGGGAGGGGTGGAGGCCAATCTACTGGCACTAAACCACCCATTCCCAGGGAAAGATTTACCCAAAAGCCGGTATAGATTTGCTTAGAATAGTCAGAAGGATTAGGCGGTCTTATTATTATCTTAATCCTTCTGACTATTCTAAGCTAATCTATACCAGTTTCTGGGTAAATCTTTCAATGGGGATGGGTGGTCAGGTCCCAGTTGTTGGCCTCCACCTCCCTCTGTTTCTCTCATTCAGTCTGGTGTTGACAACGGCTTTGGTCGGCCGAAACGTTCATCTCCCTACCCCATTTCAATGTGAATTTTCCGCATATATATATATATATATATTATATATATTATATATATATATATATATATATATATATGTATATATATATATATATATATATATATATAAATATATATATATATATATATATAATATATAATATATATATAATATATATATATGTTATCATCATCATGTTCTCTAGGCAATAGTCATTTGTTTGAATTATGTATGTGGTATCGAGTCCTACTTTTGAAGGAGTCGATACTTATTGCTTTCATAATACTCAGATTCAAGTTTCATTATCTTATTTGGATTGTTTTATAAATAATTGTTCAGTAACCGTAGAGTTTTTAGGCATAGTGTTTGTCTGTTTATGTACAAAAGGTAGACGTTTGCATATATATATATATTGGGATGGTTTTTCCCGTTAGAGTTGAATCCTTTTAGAGTAGATGATATGACTACAAAGTTGAGTAGTTTTGAAGTTGATGAGTTTATTATGAGCGACTTCATAGTTGAAAATTGAGTTTTTAGTGATTTATGTATTTTTTAAATCTTCAGCAGCCACAAAATTAAATTTGATTGTAAATATATACAAATGTATCTCTAACAGATTCTAACATTGGCCTTGTTTGAATCGAAAATTTCTTTGCATAACATTATTGATAGGTACTAAAAAAGTTAGATCCATTACATATGTTGTATATTACATGACTAGTCAATTTTGGTCAGAGCTCCTGAACATGTTGGATTTTGCGAAGATTCATCTTGTCGGATGTTAAATATACTGTAATCATGTATAAGTATTCCAAAATCCAAACGTGCCCTTTTTTTGAAAAATCAGTTTCAATGAGTTTTTAAATGGAGTAAATGATTAGCTAATTCTTAGATTCTTCGAATTGCCAAACATATCAGCAGCCGATTCAATAATCAATCCTGTGAATATGATATGAGTGATTTTCTATGTTATATATCATGTTGTGAGGTGAGTAATATCTTGCGTTATACCACAAATTGTCAACATAACTTGGGTTATATTCTGTGTTGTAACTCATATTGTGAACACGATATGAGTTATATCCTGTGTTATAACCCATATTGCGAGTATGAACTCCATCATTCACCGGAGCATATTGACAAATATTGCAATGCTAATCGATTAGAAAAAATTAATTATTCTTCTGAAAGTGAAGAACAAAAAAACAACTGAAATCCACTCATCTTGATCAGAACACATTTTTGAGAATACAAATTATAATAATTATTCTGGAATTCAATTTTATGTATAAATGATGTCTGTCTTTCGATAAAACAAATATTAATTAGTATTGATGAGAAGGCTGACATGTTAGACGTGATGATATCAAAGCTAAAATTGTGGGTTGAAGTGAGCGGCTCCTGAAGGTTTAATTTGCCTGTTCTGAAGATGGAAAGAAACAATATTTGCATTTATTCTAATTGTAATAATTTGCTAGTATTTTTCTTACTGTAATTTTCCTCTTATTGTAATACCAGCTTCAACTATAGTTTAAAATGTTTACTAGCTAAGTTTGTTAATATTTCAATAATTTAATTACATAGGTGAACAGGTTTTAGATTATATTAAAGAAAAGTAAATATATAACAAATAAAGAAAAATAAATATATGCAAAGTTTCTGTCCATTATCTCAAAACAGAGCAACACTGTGTTCAACACCTGCACTCTGTACTTATACAGGCACTCTGTACTTATACACTCACTCTATACTTATACACTCACTCTATACTTATACACTCACTTTGAACTTATACACTCACTCTGTTCGAATACACGCACTCTGTACATGCACTATGTACTAATACACTCAGTCTATACTCAAACACGCATTCTGTACTTATGTATTCACTCTACTTATACACGTAATCTCTACTTTATACACGCACTCTGTGCATATGCACGTACTTTGTACTTATAACACACTCTGTACTTATACATGCACACTGAATCTATACACGCAATCTGTACTGACACACGCACTCTATACTTACACATGCACTCTGTACTTACACATGCACTCTGTGTTTATACATGCACTCTGTACTTATACATGCAGTCTATACTTATACATGAACTATGTAACGATACACTCCTTCTATACTGACACACGCATACTCTGTACTCGTATATGAGCTCTGTACTTATACATGCATTCTGTACTCATACATATGCGCAATGTACTTATACATGCACTCTGTTCATATACACCCACTCTATGTTCACAAATAACATAGAACAATTCGTGGATAATTCACTCTCAGATCGTCCTCAGACCAGAAACTCATTGCAATTCAACCATTAGAACATATAATGCACCGAAAGATGCATTGAGCCAGAAAGGTTTGTTAATTCACTATCATTTCAAACGAGAGAGACAATGACTTTAAGTTCACCAGACCACACACTAGAAGTTGAAGGGACGACGACGTTTCGGTCCGTCCTGGACCATTCTCAAGTCGATTGTGAACTTCCGATTGTGATTGCGTCCCTTCAACTTCTAGTGTGTGGTCTGGTCAACATACTTCCGCCACGTTATTGTGACTCATCGCCTGCAATGACTTTAAGGATATAAACCAAAATATAGTATGATTCCCTAGGAGAAATATTTTAAACGCTTATTCTCCCCAACCTCAATACTTAGAATAAGCAGACATATAAATAACCTGGATATAATATGTATCTTCGTGGAAAATCAAGCAATAGATCTGTGAAGAATAGGGACTGCAGGCGCGTCTGTGAAGAATAGGGATTGTAGACGCGTCTATGGAAGGTACAAAGACATTCACTGTAACGTTCAAGCGACTACAAGCCTCCCTTCAGAGATAAAGGGGTCTTGTAAAGATAAATCAACTCCCGACCGCTGTGAATGATAACACAACATTGCACGATGATTTGTGTTGAGCGAGGTTAGGCATATATGAATGTCTGTTAAACACACACATATATATATATATATATATATATATATATATATATATATATATATATATATATATATATATATATGAATGTGTCAGACATATATATACGAATGTGAATGTGTTGATATTCATAGGAGCAGCTTTTATTATTATTATTATTTTTTACGATAGATGTGGCCATACATTTTCAGTGCTAATCAATATATATACATTACCTTCTGTCTTCCATGGACAGGGTTATAGGTCTGTTAAACTATAAGTTCAATGATCTATTGAACAATCAACCACAGAGGGTGATTTTATGGGCCAATAGGCTTTCTTTAGTTTCCCTAATTCTTATCTTCTTTTGTTCTAATTGTAAAATAGCGCTAAGCCCGTAGTTACCAGAGGAATACTTAGCAAAGTAACGGAGCAAATGCTGCGGTAGCAAATAACCAAGTAGGAAAACCCACTTGATTTATTTAGTTCAGGTCCCAGAACTAAGGCACAACATCATAATTGTGGGAGAAAGAGGAAACGAGTAATATCTGAAAAACAACATACAGGGGGAGAGTAAGGTGCTCACTAATCAATAAAATAATAACCAAGCATTGAGAAAATATGCATGAATGTAGACCGAATATTTTTTTCTCAAGCCGGGGCCTTTGCGGAAGGAAGTTCCGGGTTGAGATATCCAGTCTAGAAATTTCATCAATGTTTTATAAATGCAGGGTTTTTATTTCACGTATTGGGCAAGGAGGGAAATTGAGAGTGAAAATAATGGCAGTGCGCTATATGATAAACTGTTGAACCAGCACACACGGGTGGAAGATCGATGAATAGATGAGTCTGAGAGAATGTGCTGCAAGAAGCGATTGCAAACGCGAGCTCACTAAGCAACTTCAAAAGGAATTACAACGATAAATATTAGGAATAACTGTCATTGCATTACCTGACTAGACGGTCTAAGGAGCTAATATTCGACCTTGAGAGCACACCTAGGTGACTACTTCTAGGTAAACACACACACACACACACACACACACACACAC